TATAGGAAACAACAGCACAGATGGCACTCCGGACCCATGCAATTGTTCCGCCTTTGTTTGCCTGCTATTATCAAATCCAAGGTATATACCAAATATACTCTTCTGTGACACTTGTCTAGAAGTTGAATTTTGAGGAGTTTAGTTTACTTACATAACATATTCATCTTTAGATTATTAGTTTGTTCTAATAAATGCCAAATTCCATTATTGTTTTGTTACAGATAAGCTTTTGGAAGAAATTCAATTTGATATTCCTCTTCTTCCTTCTGAGAAAACTGATATTGCCGTTTTACTCCTTCACACTATTCTGCATTATTCTCCCAATGACAATGTTCATCCCAGAGGCTGAGCTCCCAGCATGGGTTGTGTGCTACATCCCGGCGACAATGTCGTTTCTCAATATCCTCCCAGCTCCAAAATCATTTCCCTTCATAGTCCCATACCTTCTCTTTGAGAACACCATGTCAGTGACCAAGTTCAACGCCATGATCTCGGGGCTATTCCAGCTCGGAAGTGCTTATGAGTGGGTTGTGACCAAGAAATCCGGCCGCTCATCCGAGGGTGATCTTGTCTCCCTGGTTGAGAAAGAGGGAAAACACCAAAGAGGGGTCTCAGTTCCCAATCTTCAGGAAATGAAAGAGGAGATTACACAACAAGAGAAGAAAGCCTCTAAGAAGAAGAAGCACAATAGAATATACACAAAGGAATTGGCACTAGCTTTCCTTCTACTAACAGCGTCAGCAAGAAGTCTCCTTTCAGCTCAGGGTATCCATTTCTACTTCTTGCTGTTTCAAGGGATATCTTTCTTGCTTGTTGGGCTTGACTTGATTGGCGAGCAGGTTCAGTGAATAATATAACATGAATAGGATTCTCTTAAAGCAGAAAATAGATGGTTGAAATGGATATGAAACCAATGGGGTTTTGTCCAAGTGCTAAAGACTCAAATGTTTTATTGACACGAAACGGCCAAATGGGGTGACGCTTTCCTTCTTGCTTAGACTCAACCCTCAGGCACGCCAATCCGTTAAGTTAAAACCCAAGATTGGGAAAGGGGCAATAAGCAGATAAGGACGTCATTTATTAAGGGGGAAATGGTGATTCCTCTTCACTGTTTCTTATTAGGCTTCTACTTTTTCTCTTTCTTTTTCCCCTTGTTTTTTTTTTT